GTTCTTGCATGAGGCCCATTGATCATTAATATCAGCTGAGGTTTCAGTAAATACACAAAATCAGTCTCCCCAGCAAATTCTGGCATTTATACTTTAATGTACCAACCAGTTGTGACAGGATGTGCATTAGTTTAAGCTCTACTGTAACAGACAAAATGTAACAGATTACCCAACTTCATCTATACCTTGCACTTAAAAAAAACACAAGAAAAAAATGAAATTAACCAAATAGAGAAGTTAAGAAAGTTTGGAAAAAAAACTGAGTTCAAAAATCTCTGTAATGTGGTTGTTAGGTATGGTATAGGAACAGCTTGTAGAAGGAATGAAACTCTACCATTTTCTAAAGTCCTTGGAAACTTTTCTCTGGTTTTTGGAGGACACCCAAAACTATTTCTAACTGCACTTCTACGGCCGTGGGGGAGTAGGAAAGGAAAGAAAAGAAAGGCAGGATGGAGAAAAGGAGAGGAGGTTTGAAAGGGAGGGTGGGGGGGCACTCACCTTGATTAAACCATTCCTCTATAGTTAGCCAAGGAAGCAGCAGCAATGCCAAAAAACACAAAGCAGGGAGAAAAAAAGAAGAGGCATGGTGAAAAATGTGTGGGCACGTGTCAGAAAGTTGCAGGGACAGTCGTGTCAACAGATTATTATTATTTATTTTTTTACAAAAGAGAGCAACACTTTTCTAAAGGTGAATAATTGAAGGCCATCATAAAGACGAAACGCTGGCAGAGGTGAGAAAGCTTTGTGTGAGTGTGTGTGTGCTGGGGAACAGCGAGAACAGCATTCAAAGAAAATTTAGCAAAGACTGAGAAACGTAAAGTTGGGAAAAAGGCAGAAAGACTGCAAAATGAAAATGATCAGATTCCACGATCAGTAAGGCAAGGAGGAGAGCTAAAAGTCAAACACGTGTAAAAGCAGCACAAAATTTCAGCTTTTATTTAAGAGCTTTTAGATTCACTAATAGAGAAGAGAAAATTATCAAACTTTGATCTGTTGTGCATTTCCTAATCACAATTGTATTTTCATCCTAATGTGACATTAGGTCACAGAGGAGGCTAGTTTTAGTCGTACGTACTGTAACAGGCTCCTTCATTCTCATGCATAGTGTTATTTAATGTATCTGTGCAGAAGTCTTTTCCTCTGTGAGCACAGAGAAAGTCTCATTATTCAGCCTGTGTAAATTTGGTAAATTGATTTTTTCCTAAACGCCTACACTTGTAAGCTCAGTGTTGTTCTGACCCCTGAACCAACAGGACTCTGAAGTGTCATCAGAATCGAGGGTCACTGACTGGTTGCCACTTCTCATTGGCTGACTGATTAATGGCAGCCATTAAGGTTGGACAGGGAGGAGATAACAGTGTCATTTTCCCCAACAGCCTGGGAGAACAATGATTTAGCTGTCTCTATACGTGGAGCACGGATGTTAAAAAAAGAGGTAAAAGCAACTCAAATTTTCCTGTTCTGCAAATTATGTTATTATCGCAATATCTATTTATTTTTTATATTTATGTCTTTATTTTCCTTTCTTCCTCTTACCTTTGGCCTTCTTGCCTCCAAAGCAGCCAGCATCATCCTTCTTCTTCCTCTGTGGTCCTGCTGATCCAGGGGCCTGTAGTGCTGATGGGTCCTGGAACTTTTCGGCCCCTGGTACCTCTTTGTGGACGTGGTAGGAGAGGTTCCTCATAATACAAACGCAATTCTCAACAGACTAAAAGGAAAAAAATAAATGGCATTAGAGTGTTTTTTGATTTGGGTGTCAGCACACCTCGATTCAGCTCTAAYCAACTCTTATTTTCTATCTAACTTTGTCTGCATAAACACGTATTAGACATCATACAAAATACTGAGATAGACGCTAAATCCGGAAGACACATCTCAATAAGCTGGTCCCTTTACAGGTTTGAAGTTGTTCCCTGTCCATGTAAACAAACACTGTGATTGGGCACAGGAAAGTAGGTGGGACTAAAAGCTGCACATTGCCAGTGCATGGACTCTGGCTCTAAAAATACAGCATGGCTGCTTCCCTTAAGTGAATCCTGTGGATGCTCATTCCCAAAATCAAGAGAAAGCAGAGATATTTTACGTAATATTTCTGTGTACAGTCATTGGGCCTCATGCAAGAACATGTTCGTATTCTTATCCTAAATTTCTCCTACTTTTGTTCGTACAAAGGGTTCGTACGAACATG